CACGACTTTCAGAGAATCCAAGCAATCTATTCATCCCCTATTTTTCTAACAATCCACCACACTGTCATTATAATCCCCTCAAAAGCAAGACGTTTTTGAGACGATAACCGAGCCAAATCAATCAAAAATTGGATTCTTAATTAATAAATCGAAAAACTGTCCCCATAAACAATGAAAATGAAATACATATAAGGAGGAAAATATAAGCTTTTTTCCTTAAAATTGGAGATCTTAATTGATTAGGATAAGATCATCAATCAATTATCAAAATCAAATCTCATAAAGTAAAAATGTCTGAAAAAAATAGAAAAACACATTTTTAGGCCCTAAATGATCATGAATGGCCGAAAAACACCACACATCATGTCGTGTGCGAATTTCGTCCAATTTTATATCGTGTGCGAATTTCGTCCAATTCCGAGCTTTTGGATCACTTCGGCAGATTTGTTGTTGATGTCATCATATTTTCATTCCTACTAGTGCTGACATCGTCAAGCTATGTATCGACACTTGTATCACCTGCATCATTTAGCATGTTGTTTAGTATTATATAAAGTTTATAAACCAATCTAATAAAAAAAACAGGAACTTGTTTCATAATCCGAGATTTATTTTTTAAGTTGTGGGAAACATTAAACCTATGGATATAAGAGCGATTTAACAAAGAAACTACTTGTCAAGCATGTGATAAGCTGCGAACTTTTGAGTGTTTGGAGAATATGCTAGTTGCATAATTGGAAAGAATTCGGATGAGACTTACGATAGATATTTAAAACCAGAGGACCATACTTTTTTGGTATTCAATATATGCAATTAACCGGTTGTAAAATAAGTGATAATTAATAATTTCCCTAATGGTGGTCAAGTTATTAATTTGTTATTTTTGTTATTATCCATATATTAATGTGAATTATACGGAAATCAAGATCATATTTCATTCAAAATATATTTATAATATATCGAACTTGGGCCACTTGTAAGTTTTTTGAAATGTAAGTTTTATTGATTGATAAATAAAGGATAATGGGAAAAAGACGTGTTGTCATGGTACAAAAAAAACATAGGATTTTAGGGTAGGACCACTTGCAAACATAACTTATTTATTTGTTTTTTTGGTTTAAGATTAGTTTTTTTTAACAAAAAAAAAATCATTAGAATAAAAGTATTTATATGACATTAAGCGGCAATTTGGTAATTTCAATTGAGTCGATAACACAGTTTTAAATCTGACCAAGCAAGAGACATATTATGTATGATATCGATCATATCAAAAGGGGGCAAAAATCATATTTCATCAAACATTTTTTAGTTTGCATCAAATGGTACTAGAAAAAAAGTATCACACACATAATAAAACGAAAGACACCATGCCAAAATGCTTACACCTTGCCGTTAATCATGTAACTTATAAATATTTTTGCATTGTGTCTTCTTTTCAATTTTAGCCAATCATACAATAATATTATATTCATAATAATGATTGCAAGTAAATAAAATTTGGAATGTTTTGAATGGAAAAATCATTATTTTTGGCTTTTGCATCTTTTAGATTGGTATAAATTTAACGGACAAAGGATGCTTCCAAGGATGTCCTTTTTGCTATCAAAAAGAAAACAAAAAAACCAAGGTCAACTTTGTAATATTATGTGCCCTCTTGACTTTTCTCTTATATATTCTGATTCCAACAACCTCAATTTTTATTTGAAAATCCAGCTCTAATATTTGTAGCAAAACCCATATTGAAAATTGTTGAGGGCCAAGGCTAAAAACGTAATTTTACAAAAACAAATGACCCATATATATATATATATATATATATATATATATATATATATATATAATTTAATAAATTTTGGAGAATTGAAATTTAAGAAGGTAAAATTGGCTATAAATTATCAAAAAAGTCGTCCTATTACTTCAAAATTGGTCATCCTGCTAGCCTACCTAAACCCATGTCGAACCTCCCTCCAAATTATGTAAAAAAGAAAAAAAAAAAAAAAAAAAAAAACTTTTACAGTGAAGATAAAAATAAATGAAAAATGATTTTTTTTAGAGAGAAAAAGTGAAGAGAGATGGAAATAGCTGGAAAACCTACTCCTCCAAGAAGTGCTTCACGATCTTCATGCTTGGTTCCACCACCTGTTTTTCCCATATTTCCGCCACCCTTGCTCCGCCTCTCTCCGCCGTCATCACAGCCCTAAATGCCTCTGTGGCATCTATTCTCTTTAATTCCCACCCGGCGTCCCTCAGCCGTAGGATCTTACTCACTTGCTTCTTCGCCAGTTGGCACGTGTTGTCCTTGATCCTTCTCACGGCTTCATTGTACGCCTCCTGCCCCATCACATCCTCCTCGAATACCGAGCCCTCCGTTCGCCGGAGCCCTGGAAAATTCGTGAAATACGTCTCGAACTCCGGTATTCCGATTGCCTGACCTAAACCACACCTGTTAACCCTCTTGTGCTCATCGGACCTGAAAAACTCTGCAAGCTCCTCGAACATACCGGAATCAAGCATCTCATCGACCCTTTTTGATAAATACTGATTTAAAACCGGTGAGCTAACATCCACCCAGATGAAACAGCATTCGTATCGGAAATCAGAGCTCACCGGCTGCGGCTGTGGTCCGTTGAAGACGTCCGATTTTGGGTCGTAGCGTTTTGTAACCAGTGAGTATATTAACGAATTTGATCCTCCGACGACAAGAGGCAACCCCCGACGAGTTCTAATCTGGTTGATGTATTCTGCCGCCACATTCCGGAAATCCGACGGAGTGAAAACCGATTTCCTTGGGTCAATCGCTCCGAGAAGGTGGTGGGGGACACCGCGTCGCTCTGGCATTGTGATTTTGTTGGTGGTGATATCAAGTCCGCTGTACACTTGCATTTTATCGGAGTTGATGATCTCAGAGTTATCAAAAAATCGAGTTGCGAGATCGATTGAAAGACGGGATTTACCTGCGCCGGTTGGACCCATGATGACGACAATCTTTCGCTTTCGGCGACGAGTGGACGAAGATATAGGTGAGACGGCGGCGGCGATTGTGGAGGGTGATTCCATGTGGATTTGATTAACCCACGTGGAAGAAGAAGAAGAAGAAGAAGGGGTGGGTTGAAAGAAGGTGAGAAATGAAGAAAATAATTTGAAGCGATGATGATGGAAATTTGTTGAAAATGGTAGTCTCATAAGGAAATTTGTTTTGATGACGATGAAAATACAAAACTCACAACACAAGCAGAACGTACATACAAAATACATGAGAGAGAGGGGGAGGAGAGAGAGGGAGAGAGAAAGAGAAGGCAGTTTTTAGGGGTGGGTTTGTTACATATACAATATATTCAGAAATCAGAAATAGTCTCTATCTCTCTGTTTCTCTCTCTCTATATATATATATATTCCGTGAGGATTTGGAATTTAAAGAAGTAGTGGGTATGGATTCAGAAGCGATGAAACAGAGGATACATCATAATCATCTTCATCATTGTGGTAGCTTCTAAAATCTGTATGGAATGAGTTTGAATCTTGTGGATGTTGTGGGATGCGTCATTTGATGCGATATGAATTAATGAATGTGGTGCAGAGGGGTGTGTGTGTGTGTGTCGGGATTTGGTCACACACGATGATCGGAGAAGGAGGGAAGTGTTGTTGGGACGTTGGGGTTAAGTTTTTGGGTTGGATTGTAGAATGTAGAGTGATGGGCTTGTTTTAAACCCCTTGAAGAATGGAATAGAATGCCACCTCAAATTCAAATCAACTCACCTTTTCCTTTCTGTAAGAAAAAACTGGTGAGAAGAATTGGTGGGCCACTTTTTGGAAAATGCATTTTGAAATGAGAATAACCATCATTTTGCATTTAACAATGATATTACTATTAATAGAATTACATTTATATTACTCGACTCAATATATATATATATATATATATATATATATATATGGAAAAAATGAATATATGACTGTTATTTACCTAAGCTTAGGTATAAAACCTTTTAAACGACGTAGTTTTAAACAAAACAAATACAATTTCATTTTTTCTTAATTTTGTATTGAGTTAAATTATGAAATGAAAAAGATCAAGTATATATTTTTTAATTGCAAAAGGTCGTTGAAGTTTAAATGAAAAGTAAAAAAATCAATATTTTTTAGACTAAACTGCACAAATAGTCCCTGTGGTTTGCTGAAAATTGTCACTTTTGTCCAAAAAGATTTGGACTAGCACTACAGGTCCAAAGTTTTCATTTTGTTGCGAGTTTGGTCCAATTTACTTTAAACTTTTTTGTAATGACAATTTTACCCTTGTTTTTTGCTTTTTCAGTTTTATTTATTTAAATATTTTTATGATTAAAAAGAAAATAAAAAAAATACTTCTCTCTCCTGTTCATATCTTCTTGGCCTGGTTTTCACATACATACGCTGCCGGAAAATCAGATCAGTTAGAAACCTTTTGTCGGAGTCGCCACCCTCTCGTCTCTGTCCCCGCACTTTTGTTTTCATCAACAGAAACCCTAACTATGGTTTTTTGTTTACATATCTGTGGTTCATGGTTCATCAGACCCACCTTATCGTCGGCCACTGGTTGTTAGAACTTGGTATGTCTTCTCCGATAACTGTGACAAGATCAAGCTGACGACCACAAAACTTAGATGTTCAGATCTCGCTGGCCAAAAGCGCTAGACCTTTCCGATCTCAGTTCTTTCGCCGTCGGTTCTTTGCCGGTAGCAGTGAAGAGCTCAAGGTGACGAAGGCTTTCAAATCGGAGGGTTTTCAGATGGGTTTTCGAGATCGAAGGGTTTTCAAAGAGGTTCAAAAGCGGTGTCGATGTTGACAAGTGTAGATCTAGAAATCTTTCTCATCGGAAATTACTGATGAAGACGGTCGAAGGCTGCGACGGATTTGACGAAGGGTTGCAGTGATCTTAAACGACTTGAGAAAGAGGGTTATGACTCCCTCCAAAACGACCGCCATTTATTCATCTTTGTCTTTACAGATCTGATATGCGTGAGCTACGGTGGAGATGAAGGACGACATAGATCTATATCGACGGTGGTTTCGTTGGTTTCCCACAGAAATGGTAGCAATGGCGGTGGTTTCCGATTATACTTTTCAGATATGAGGTTTTCAAGGGGATGGTGGTGGTGGTGTTGAGTTGCGGTGGTCGTATAGGCTAGATGTGTTGACCCGTCGTGGTGGTGGTGACGTTCATCATTTCCGGTGGTGGCGTTTATCTTTTCCGGCGGTAGTGTTCCCGGTGTTCTCTGAAGAGAGAGAGATTGCATATTTTATTTATTTATTTTTATTTCTTTATAAAAAAATTATAAAAGTAAAATAGAAAAGACAATTTTTTTTATTTTTCTTGTAAACAGAAAAATATTTAAATCAATAAAAAATTAAAAAAGATAAAAGTAAGGGCAAAATCGTCATTATGAAAAAGTTTAAAGCAAATTGGACTAAACCCGCAACAAAATGAAAACTTTGGACCTGTTGTGCTAATTCAAATCTTTTTGAACCAAAGTGGCAATTTTCAACAAACCACAGGGACCATTTGTGCAGTTTAGTTTATTTTTTAACGAATATAACTCAAACGTTTGTCCTTCAATGGAAAAATTATATTGAATGATTTGTGAAAAGCTTGATTGTGTTATTGTATGTTCTTTTTTTATCTTTTATTCTATTAGTTTTCATTTAAAACTTAGTAGGGCTAATTAAATTATCATAACTTTTAATGCTTTAAGTTATTAGACACAATGACGAAAAAGAACATAAACTCGATCGGTTTAGTAAGTGACATGATTAAGAAAGAATAGTAAACGAAATATTATGATTAGTTTGGATATATATGGATCAAACTACATAGTTTAGAGGGTTCTATATATAAGTTTAGGTACATAACAGCCACATATTCCCTAAGCCCTATATATATATATATATATATATATATATATATATATATATATATATATATATATATAGAGAGAGAGAGAGAGAGAGAGAGAGAGAGAGTCAAGATCAAATAAGAAAGAAAATTTTGATAGGAATGTAAGAAATTTTTTATATACATATTTTCCTAGCAAAAACATGAAATGATTCATTAAATAATTCAAAAGTAGGGTGATTCACAAAAAAAATTTCGAAAAAAACACCTTCATCATTCATTTTTAGGTAAATCAAGAAAAAAATTCATTTTTATGACAACTTTAGTAAATAGCAACAAAATTATCGTAAAAATGAATCATCGAAATATTTTTCGGGATTTTTTTTGATGAATCATGTTATTATTGATTTATCTAGTGATTCATTTGTTTTGTTCGCCAAAAAAATAAGCCGAAAAAAATTTTCTTACATTCCTACCAAAAAAAATTTCTTACCGGGTATATATATATATATATATATATATATATATATATATATATATATATATATATATATATGTCTAAAAATTAACATAATAAATCAAATTTTCGGATTTTTTTTGAAAAATAATAGTTTTCGAGTTTCTAAAAATATGCAGATTTTTTAAATTTCTTTAGAAAACAAGAAGTTTTAAAAAAATAGAAAATTTTCTTTTAAAAAAAAGAAACTGTAATTTTCTGAAAACAATAAATTTTTAAAAATCTGTAAATTTAAAAAAAAAATCTGGAATGTTTTTTTTTTAAAAAAGCTATAATTTTTTAACAAAAAAATCAATGTTTAAGTGCATATATGCATATTTTTTCAAGTGCATATATGCATATTTCTTATACTATAATATTTATAAGTAAATAATAAAAAAACTCATTTTTATTTACTAATCTATAAACACAATAGTCCAAGTATTTTAAAGATATAAAATAAAGTATAAAAAACCAAATATTGCTACATATTTTCAAAGCGTTTTCATGTCTTCGTGCCAAGATTTTCATACGTTTCTTCAATTTATCGCTTTTCACATCTTCAACATTTTCCACAAAATCTTCCAATCTACAAGAAAATAAAAAAAAAACTGATTAATGGAAGAGCATTCACAAAAATACATATGTATATATCATGTACGATTCACATGTGATTATATGATATGATATTCACATGTTATTGTATCTTTTAAGATTTATATGTGAATTAAATGTGAATCACATGTAATTCATATGTGATTCACTTGTGATTTACATGTGACTCATACGTGATTTGCATGCGATTCATATGTGAATTACATGTGATTTACATGTGAATCACATGTAATTCATATGTGATTCACTTGTGATTTACATGTGAATCACATGTGATTTACATGTGAATCACATGTAATTTATATGTGATTCACTTGTGATTTACATGTGAAATCACATGTGATTTACACGTGAATCACATGTGATTCATATGTGATGTGATTCATATGTGATTCACTTGTGATTTACATGTGAATCACATTTGATTTACATGTGAATCACATGTAATTCACATGTGAATCACATGTAATTCATATGTGATTCACTTGTGATTTACATGTGAATCACATATGTAATTACAGTGATTATTTGCAATTTATCACTATTAACTGTCATTTCATTGTATTTTTGAACTTTTTATGCTTATTACAGTGATTATTTGCAAGGTTCATCTGTGATGTGGTTTTAATGTGTAAATATTTACCTGGTGAACAATACTAGAAAATCATGTTGTTACAAGCATGTTATCCCCATTTCAGAAAGGAAAAGCGTTCATCATTGTGTTAAAATTCAAGGTCCATGTTTGCTTGAACAACATTTGCACTTCTTGAAACATCAACTTGAACTGAATGGTCAATCAGAAGGTCTACTAGCACCTAGGAAATATGAATATTTGAAAGAATTAAAAACTTTTGATGCTTTAAAAAAATATGTGAAGCGGATAATTAAAATATTACTTACCAATGGGTTGATATTCTTGGAGTCACCGCTGAGTCTGTTCATAGCATCTCATATACAAGCAAGGTAAACTACAACTAGAACTCCAGTAAAATCCTGATAAAATATCATGGATTATTAGAAATGCACAAAGGAATGCAAAGTTGTATACTTGTATTAAGCCAATATATCTTGATATTAAAGCAAAGCAACTAAATCTGGTTCAGAACTTTCGTCGAGCAACTTGCATGCACTTCAAAAAAACCTGACACTTTGAATACAAATTGACTATATTTTCACCAGACGGATCCATGTTAAAGAGAACAACAATATTCGTAAGGCCACACATGAAGGAAAAGAGCACTAGAATTTTATATTTTCACAAAAATGTTCTTCTTAATAAAAAACCTTCTAAACTCTAAGTAATGTCAATATTACGCACTGTATTGAATCCGATAACTAACTCAGTATACAAACAAGCATATAACAAGCATATAGATTGTTAACTTAATTTTGGTAATGCGGAAAAGCAAAAGCGAAATCTGATCTAAAAAACTGAAGAAATGCAGAAAAATAAAAACCTCTGTATAGGTAACTTCTGGTGGAGGAAAATTGAGACCGAGATCGAGAGTTGGGGATTTCTCTTGTCTAAAATGCCCGACCGATGAAGAGTCATAATCGCTCTGTTGTGCGAGGCCACGAGTAGCGACTGTGAGATGTGGATCACAGATGACGGATCTGAAGAAGTTTGAGTCGGTTGTGATTTTTGTTGTTGTTGTTGATATGGAATTTCATTTGTGAATGATACATGAACATTGAATGAGGCATCGGGAATCCAAGGGGATAGTCCGATAGGCTAAGGTCAAGTGCTTTAGGCGTAAGTAGAGCGATCGAGACCAGATGCACTTGTTATATTGTTTCAATTTGAATTCTTGATCGACAAGGGTTCATCTTCTCCGTTCAGGTCTTCAATCCACAGAGGAGGCCGAGATAAAGTTGGCGATTACACTGTACTCCAGGGAACGAATTGATGGAGGATAAAACGATTCAAAATCAAAGCATCTTTAGTGGAGTTTTTTCTATGAAGAACGTGAGATCAAGGAGTGTGGCAGTCGACAGAGGTAGAGATGGTCGGTGAAGGGAGGAGGGAGGCAATCGGCGACGGGTGATGGAGGAGGCAGTCGTCTTTATCGTCAATGAAGAACGTGAGAAGGAGAGAGATTTGATGACGAATAGAGAGAGAAATAGTATAAGGAAAAGGTTTGACTGGATCATGTATAAGTTATCTATCCCTAAAATGCCCTCCAACTAATTGAAATAAGATACCCCCGTGCTTTTTATTTCCAAGGTTTTACAAAAATACCACAGATCATCTTGACCCTCTATTATTTTGATCTAATGGTCCTTGTTTGGTTCTCGGGAAAGTATAGGTTCTCAAATGATCATTCATCTCTCTCTCTCTCTCTATATATATATATATATATATATATATTATATATATATATATATTATATATATATTATATATATATATATATATATATTTGTTTATTTAAAGAAGTTTATATTTTATTATATAAGTATTAATAATTTTATAATCCATGTCGAGTTTATTTTTATTTTTCATTGTAAAAACTTAATATTGCCAAGTATAATTTAATAGGGTTATTATTTATCTTTTAATTTAAGAAAATATGCATAAAAGTTCATATATATTGGTTTTATTGACAAAAAAGTTATCCATGATTTTTTTTTCTGTAATTTAACCATTGAAACTTGTAAACACTTGCAAAAAAACATTGTACCCGGTTAGTGCTGGTTTAAAGGGTCAAATTGCAAAAAAAAAAAAAAACCAATAATAATAAAATAAAAAAAATCATGGATGACTTTTTCGTTAATAATTTTAAAGTTTCATGACTTTTCTGGAGATTTTCTACTTTATATATACTAAATTTATTTGAAAAAAAAAATTATATTTATTTATTATAAAAATCAAAATAAATCTGTATTTTTTATTAAAAAAAACAATAATGATAATTTATATATCATTTTTGAAATTTTTTGTGATTCTTTTTAATAAATATTATTACTACCATCACATATATATATATATATATATATATATATATATATATATATATAAATAGCAAATTTTATTCGATTAACGAAAAAAAACAATGAATGAAATAATTTGAATCACTAATAGTGCATGCATTGTTGTATTAGATCAAAATCGGAAGTTGCGTTCTTGACCTAACTACAAAAATGCAGATTTTTGGAAAGATACAAAATAAAACTATGTCTGTAACTCACTAGAGGCCCCAGAAACAAAGAGAAGAAGACGTGTACAAGCGAGATATGCAACAACAAGAAGAAGGAAAAGGATTGCATAGAGGAACTCCAGAACATTTGCCAGAT